ATAAGAAACAGTAAAAACAAACGACTTTTGGGATTTTCATTGAATAGATATAATGCCATCAAAAGTCTTTGTAAACACAATGTTTCATTCTGTTATTTTATATACTTCAATTATTAGTGTTATTCTTAAGTTGATTATCAAATGATTTTAGATAAAGCTGTTCATTGGATTTAATTTGATCGTCATCGTATGATAGACGATGCAGAAAAAAGAATAATAACATTAAAAAAAAACAGTGTTCTCACATAAGCGACAAGAAAAAAAAAACAATCATTGCGAAAAATTTTACGAGTTCTAAAAATATATTCTTTCTTGTTTTCTAAAAATATTTCTCAATTTTTACATATCTTTGAAATATTCATACATGCATACGCAAAGTATCTATTAGCGAAAAAAAAATGTTTGCAATTTATTACTAAAAAAAAAAAACTAAATTTTTAGAATCATTACCAAAGACAGCAACACTTCGAAAATTAAATGATCTGATAAAACGTGCACGTTTAGCTAAAGTAAATCTATTATAATTTTAATATTTTTTTTTCCACACGAAAAAATTCTTATTTATTATCAATAGGTACATGCCTTAATTATTAGTGAATTAAAAGAAAGTATGCCAAGTGTTTTTGGTAAAGATTCTAAACGTAAAGAATTAATCAATGTAAGTATTAACTAATGAAAGAACATTTTCAATTGACTAATCACTTTTACATTTAGATTCAGTGCATAAGGTAGACTCTCATAAGATATGTAAAACTTTCAAAAGGATAATTCCCATTGGGATCTACTGTCTAGAGTATCATTTGAAGGTTTTTAATATTTTATTGGAATCTACATTATGCACTGGATCTAAATTCAAAAACGATTGATTATTTCAAAACGCTTCCTTTCTTAAGATTAATCTATAAAAATAAAATTTTTTCTTTCATTGATAATTAGAAATTACATGTTGTCTATGAAAAAATTCAACGGGAACATAATATTCCAATAGGTGATTTTCCAAAATTAGATCGTATGCAAGAATTATTACGAAATATGGTTTGATATGAAATTTAATTTATAATTTTGATTTAATTATCTTGATTTGTTTGTTTTTTTTCTCATTATCAGGATTTCACTAAATTTAAACCATTGGAAAAAAAATTACTTGATCGTGTTGATAAAACGCTTTCTGAAGATGTACCAAAATTAATGAGCATGATACCACAAGAAGAACATGCTTATTTACAATTCAAATCAGAAACAGGACGTAATACACCATTACAAACAAATACAATCTTTAATGATCAACAAGCAACACCATTTGAATTAGGTGGTGTTGAAGGTATTAATGCAGGTCTTGGTGAATCGGATTGGATTGTTACACGATCAAGACATGAATATGATGAAATATTTAATCAACTTTCACCACAAAATGGTAAAATTACTGGTGCATCAGCTAAACAAGAAATGATTAAATCAAAACTTGTAAGTTAATTAATTTTGAAAAAAAAGAAAATTTATTTAAATAATTATTTATAGCCGAATAATGTACTTGGTCGTGTATGGAAATTAAGTGATATTGATAAAGATGGTATGCTTGATATTGATGAATGGGCTTTATCTCAACATCTTAGTATGTATCAATGGTTTTAATTAAATAATTTTTAAAAAAAAACCTAATTATTTTTTATTTTACATGAGAATATTTTTTGTTGTTGTATTTATGAATAACTTTTAATTCAAATTCTAGTATATTATTAATATTAATTTTTAAATATTTTTATTTAGTTAAAATCAAATTAGATGGTCATGAATTACCGAGTACATTACCTGATCATCTTATACCACCAAGTAAACGTCATTTAGTTTCTAATGGAAGTCCAACAAATGGCAATACTGGTATTTATCCAACAATTCATAGTGGTGTTGAACAAAATACTAGTGACGATAGTTGAGTTCCTTTTTTTTTTCTTCGCTTCTCTTCTCTTTCAATTAGTTGATATCAAGCACCAGTATTGGTTCAATATATTTTATATAATAAACAGTGAACACCATAGAAGATAAAATTTAAAACAAAAACAAAAAAAAAAAAAACACAAATTACTTATATCTCATTTATTCGTTTATCTTGCCTATTTCTCATCTTATATAATACAATCGTGTGTGTGTATACGTTTCTTTTTGTTTTTTTTGTTTTTTACAGAAAGTTTTTTTTTTTCTGCTGTATCTATTTATGCTCGTTTAGAAGTTATGTATTCAATGAAAAGACATAAATAAACTGAACACATGCTCGAATTACATATAAAGACAGATGTTCGGGAAAATAATGAAGCATAAAATAAAATAAAATAAAAAAAGAAATTAATAAATGACAACATTTATTCAATCTAACTTTCATTTTTAGCTCTTATCATGTTCCACCTGTTTGTTCAATAGACTGGCAAAATGTTATATTTAAAGTCATTTCCGTTTAAATATAGAAAAAAAACGAGTTGGCAAAAAAGAAAAAGATAACCAAGTTGACACATGTTCTTTGTTATTTGAATTTCAAGAATAAAAGAGAAAAAAAACCCGAAGTGATAAGCATTATCGTTCGTTCCAATAAAAAACTGACAACAAGTGTAACAGATCGATAAAATAAATGTTCTTACATCCATTGGTAGTAACTACGATCGATTACTAATAAAAATAGACAAACTAGTCTAATTTTTTCAAATATTTGATAACACGTACATAGTCGTCTTTGGATCTTAATTTATTTCTCAGGTTTTTTTCTTTTTTTTTTTTTTTTATAAAACAACGAAGATGTTTTCTCTCTTGCTTTTTTTTACTTTTTCTTTGTGTCACCTTCGCTAGGGAAAAAAAAAGTTTTTCCCTCCCTTGTCGACATTTCTTGTAGTGTAGACTAATCATCCGTTGCTCTCTTGTTTTAACTGTTAAGTATATGTCTCTGTTGTGTAGATACCTTCTCACTTTTTTTTAAGGTATAGCAAAAAAAGGAAAACGAGAGAATAAGAGAAAGAAGAAAGACAAAAAAAGTGAGAGTCATATACTAGATGAAATGAACGTCATAGTCATTCTGTTAAGAGCAACAAATGTGAGCAATAGTAAATTTATCCTGAAGATAAAGACAGTTAACATATGTGTTTGATGAAAATGAAATAGATATAATCATTCTTCTTTTTTCCCTTCAACAAAAGTAAGTTTATGTTTTTTATTATTTCAAATCATCAATGAACAATTTAAAAAACATGCTAATATATTATGTTAATGTAAGTATGTCTACTATATAATGGTAAAGATTTATAGAATAGAGAAAAGTTCTAAACAAGGATTAGAGACACTAGAAGAAACAGAAGAAGAAGAAGAAGAAGAAGAATGTAGGAGAAAGAAAAGTGAAACGCCTACTTGCCGCTTGGTTCCGTCACCGTTCAGCAATGCAAAGAAAAACGAGCAAACTATGCCCATTGTACACAGAAGGAAGAAGGGAAAAAAAAAGAAGAAAAGAAGTAAAAAAAAAGAAAACCCGAAGAATGGTGTTGATGATGAACTTTACTTACTACATTGGTTATGTTGTATGACAGCATTACCGACGGATAATAATGGTGGTTTTCCGACATACATACATACATACATTAACACACGTGTCTCTTCACGGTCGAATGCCTTTTCATCTCGAGTAAGTGAAGAAACGAATGAGTTGTGTGTATGCATACATAATCAAGATATAAAAATAAAATAAAAGAAGAAGAAGAAGAAGATGGACGCGATTCAGGCGTGACACGACAATATGACAAGATCGAAGGTTCCTTTTTATTAGATTGTCCTCATGTTGGTCCGGGTATCGTCAGTTATGATTGATGAAGAGTTTAGAGTAAAAATGTGTGCATGAGCTTTTGCCTTTTTTTTTTCCTTGCCCACCTTTTTTTCTTCACACGCACACACATTCCGGTGCCGTCAACAAGCTGCTGTTTAGACTCAATCATCATCAACATCATCCTCTTTTCTTCATTTTCTTCTCTTTTCTTCTCTTGAGAATCATGATAAGAATATAATCTTCAAGAAACGACCTGTATAAGTCGTTACACAAACGTTTTGACATTATTTAGAATATTTAATTATATAAGTCAACTTCATTTTAGTTATTAACAAACTAGAAATAATGACGTTCATTTGGAAGACCTTTGATTTAGTGTTTTGACTATTTTATATCAACACTAGATTTAACGTCTTCTACCTATTACGTCAGATTATTCGACGATTCAATTATGATATTTTATTTTTTTTAGAAAAATATAAATGATCATCAATTTATTTCAACTACATTAAATTCTTTGTTTTAATTTCAAATTATTATTTACTTGTTTCTTTTTTTTTTTTTCTTAAATAAAAATAACTTGTCAAATCATACATATACCTTTCAGGGATCATATACGATCGATTAGTGAATTGTCAAAGTCATGTTTAACAGACAAACGAAAAAAAAAAAAAAAAAAACTTTTACCATTTTTCATAATGATTTTAATAAAGCCTTAAAAATTATAACATATTGCATACATAACGAGTTTTTACTTTCTTTTTTTTTTTCTATAGAAGCCTGAAAATAATGGATAAGTTAAAATCATTCAACCATATAATTTGCAACTAAGCAACATATGTAAAGTAGTATTTCAAAAAGCTAATATGCTTTTTTTGTCTAATTATAATAAAATAACTTACTAATATATTGAAATATAATCTATAATTTTAATGAAATGAAACCAATGACAATTTTTTGCTTTTTCTCTTTGTTATTGTACACAAATTTTAATCGTTACTATTTTGTTCTCTTGTTCTTCTTTAATAATAGTAAATAAGTAAACATGAATTTTGATCTGTTCTGTCATAATGATGTTGTTGTTGCCATAGAACAAACGTTTTCTTTTTATTTTTTGCTGATCACTTTTTCTTTTTGTCTTGCATCTATACGCATGTTAGAGTAAAAAACATTCACACCCTTCATATATCTCATTTTGTAAAAGATGGATGACGATTTGACAGGTAAGAAATGAATAATGAAATGGCATCATTTATATTATTTAGTTTCAAGAATATCCAACACATCGTGTACGTTTACAACAATGTCATATTTGTGGACGACAATTTAATACCGAATCATTGGTGAGATTATAAATATTTTCTTTTTTTTGGTCATGTGATGATCGAAATGTCCTTCAAAATAGAGTAGTTTAATATGTGTAAGTTTTTTACTTGAATATATAGATTTTGAATATGTAAGACAATAAAAGTATAAGAAGTTTAATGAATTATACTGGATGTCATTGTATTTGTTTGATAGAATACTTTCAAAAGTATAAGTTTATTTAGATGATAACATGAGAATGTAATACATAAAAATGAAAAGAGACGTTTTACTAGTGAGTATTTTATAAGAATAAAGATACTCGTACTTCTTTTTTTCTTGTCTCTTATTTCGTTATCTATGAGAATTGATAAGAAAAACAAAACATTTCTTCTATTTCTTTTTCTTATACACACTCAAAGACTTATTTTATACTGATAGATTAATAATATAGGACCATTGTTATCATATTATAAATAGTAATCTAATAATGAAATAATCTTTTATGAGAATTTTTCGATTTTTGAATTATAGAAAAAGCATCAAGCTATTTGTCGAAAAGTAACGAATTCAAAACGAAAAGTATTCGATACTGGAAAACAACGAGCCGCAGGTTCTGATGTACCATACAAAGCAACAAAAAGAACAGCACAGGTGAATATAATCTTATTTGTATAATATAGTCAATGTATTATTCATTAATAAATTTAACTAGATATATACTGGTGAAGTTCGAGCTCAAGATGATAGAGTAAGAAGAATATAAATTATTTTTCATATCATTTTGAAATATTTGAAATGTTAGTCGAAATCAAAATCGAAAACTAATTGGAGACAAAAACATACACAATTGATTCAATCAGTACGTGAAGCTCGAGCCGTTACACGTGCTATGAAACAAGGAGGACCATTACCAGCTTTTCGACCGAGTGAAGTTCCATCAGGTTGATTCATTTTAGGGTTTTGCTTTTTCATGTATCTCTTTGTTTTTTTATGTTTTATATTATTTATTAAGATTATGTTATGTGCCCTTATTGTCATCGTAATTTTAATGAACATGCTGCTAAACGACATATGCCTTTGTAAGAATTCATTTTAAATTTTATTTATAATCTTTGTTTGATTTAGTTGTCAGACGCAGTACGAACGAAAACATGTACCAACTTCTAGACCTAATCAACAATTTGATAGAGTATAGCAAAATTTCAATTAAAATATATGTTTTAAAATTTCAAATAAAATTTTTTGTTTTTTGTTTTTTTCCCTAGGGACGAACTCTTCCTATACAAAATTCATATCCACAAAAACAACAATCGTCTCATTCAGGCATGCGTTCAAATCCTCATGATGTTTATAATAATGGTTATAAACATAGTAATTCAGCTCCTATGATAGTGCGACGAAATCCATCTGAGTAAATTTTTTCTAATCAAAATTTCGAAGAGTTAGCTCTATTCTTAGATTACAAAAACCACCACCCCCACCACCTCCACTACCACCACCACCACGTAAAACAACAGGTGGTATTTGGGGAGGCTTTAGAAAATTATTTGGTATGGGTTCTAAAGAAGAAGAACCAATGCGTGCAGGTCATCATTATACACCCGAAGTAAGTTGTTTTACAAGTAAACTTTCATGACATATGACTTCAATAAGGATGAATATGATTATGAACCGCCCGTTCGTCGACGCGGTCAACAACCGGTGCTTATGCGTACAGGACGTACACAAGAGAATACAAGTTTGAATGTACGTGCTCGTCAAAAAAATGATGAAGCAAATCCATATATACGTCGAGGACCACCTCCACCAGCTCCTCCTCCTTCATATAGTCAAATACGAAATCAATATGGTAATAGTCAACATAATTCCACAAGACCAACTGCTGTTGGACGCCCACCACCACCATCTGCAAAGCGATGTAATGAATGTGGTAGTATCTTTAATAATGCATCCGCTCATTTCTGCGCTCAGTGTGGTTCCAGACGTTAAGATTAAACTTTTGTTTGTATTTTTTTTCTTCTTCTACAGACAGTGTTTGTACAAGAGTTTGTTTTTAAATTCAAAAAAATACACTTTCACACATTGAAAAACAAAAACTTATCCAAAGACTTGATTTGTTCGTCGTTTAATATAATCATGAATTAATGTTTTAACACTTGGTGTTAATATAAATTGACATATAGAAATCATCAATAATATACAACTAATCAATACTAATATAATTTTATATGAATATTGTAATGATATACTATCGTGGGAGTCTATTGCAGCAATAATAGTTAAAATTACACTTGGAAAATCCATAATAACAAGTGCTAGATAAAAAATAAGAATACGTTTAAGCATTTTAAATTCACGTTTAATACGTCGTTGTTCTTGAGATATAATTATTTGATTTCGATGTTGAGTAACAGAATGATGAGTTATTTGAGCAATATGTAAATGTGAATGTTTTATAAGTGATGTATAAAGAACAGCATCAATAATTAAAGGAATAAAATATTCTATAGATAAGAGTAAAAATAATTCATGAGATAAATTCCAATCTAAATGACATGCATTAATAATAGGATTATAAGTAAATAAACCAAATTTCAATAAACGAAATGGATAAAGCCAAGCAAATATCCATTGTAAAATAAGTATACCAAGAAAAATATGATAAGTACGAAAATAAACATTATGATGATATACAACTGATGAAAAACGATGAAATGCTTGTAAATAATATGAATGATAAATTAATATTAATGATACTTGAAAACAATAAGCATCTATTTGACACCAAAGATTATTATTTTCGAAATTTATTTTTAACATAAATATAGTAGTTAGAACAAGAACTATATTTGCTATGATAACTGTTATACTTGAATGACATGTTAATGCAATACTAATAGAATGAATTGATGATGCAAATATGACAAATATTACAAATGAAATAGATATAAATGCTGATAATATGCACGTTATAAGAATAAACCATTCGATGAACATTTTGATCGTGATCAAATGACACTTCAAAAAAAAAAAACGGATATATTCTATTTTTTCTTTGTTTTTTATGATATTTAAAACGGAAGAGAAAGTCATTTTTGTGTGTATTGAAGCTAAGATTAATTTCGATTAAAAATTAAGAAGGAAATTATCTCGTTTTTTTCTTACTTTTGTAGTAAAAAATATGATAAAGAGTTTTAGTTTTCATTATTAACTGTAAAAAAGAAAAAAGTTGAAAGATTATCGAGCAAAATACAATCGATTTTATTTAAAGTCTACTATTATGATGGAATCTTGAAAATTTTTGAATTAAATTAATTCATATATTTATTTTCAGCAAGATCTCATTTCAATTCTACTAAAACAATTCAGATTTTATTGAAGAAATATAAAACTAAATGATTATAATGACAAAATAAGTCAACAATGTAAAATACAATTTTACGGATATTATATACTATTTAATAGTATACTAAAAAAGAAAAAGAAAACTACAATTGTGTTACGTTGAACAATAAAGAAATACGTAAATCAAAATATGTAATTTGTATCCATAAATAATTTACTATTCTTGTTAATTCACACATATGAAATTCATTTCCTGAAAGATATCCACTTATATTTGTTGGTGCATTCAACCATAAAAATTCAACTATTCATGTAATAGTCAATGCTTTATTTATGACAATCGCTGATTGTTAATTGTTGAATGGCTAAAGATTTTATTCTGTTTCAAAAAAAATTTTGTTCTGAATACTATGTTTAGAAGATCAACTAGTAGACCCTGAGTGTCGTGAGAATTATTAGATCCATTATATGAACATGAAATTCATGGTATTAATGTATTTGATATATAGATAGATTCCTAGATATCCTTAAAAAGTTCGTTGACTATAGAAGATATGATTATTACATTTTAATCAATTACATTAGCAGAATAAGATTCAAAAATAGCTAGTCAATAAACAAGTTATCTATTGTTGATTGTTTCTTTTCATAGTACTTTCTAGATCTTATAAGATTTTCCAGTACAATAAACTCATAATAGTTTCAAATGAAATAAGAAAAATAATTAATAAATAAATGAAGAACGTCATATTCTTGACTTCTAATCCATTGAGTAAAGCTTTTCAATGAATCATTTGTCATCGATAATACTAATTCAATTTCACAGAAAAAAAACTTTATCTAGATGTATCATTCTCGATAATTTTAGTATAATTTTTACTTCTTAATTAAAGTCCATTGGTAGGAGATGAATTAATAAATATTCTATGATTTACTTTAGCTCTATTTTCTTTTTGTATACTATAACCATTCTGAGCAATGACAATTTCTTTTTTATTGTTATCCAAGTAGAGTATAATCGATGCATGTAATTAAAGATTTTTCACTTGATAAATCACTTCATTATGAACATTGGTGAGAAATAATTCTTCAACTGGATATTTGAAATAAGAGAGTACAAAGAAAATGACTAAGAAATGTTTTACTTACGAACTACATATGAATATGAAATCATGATAACTTAGAATGCGTTGAATGTTCATCTATAACATCACCCTAAACACGTAACATTTTCATATTAGTTAACTGAGTTGAAAAAAAAAACAAAACGTTCAAGTCTTTCGTCAATTGTATATTTGTCAAATGTATATGGCAGAACCTCAGTACTTTCATTGATAATTAAGCTAAAAGCATTTTGAATGAATTGTTCAATACAAAAAGTCTATTCAAAGTACTGTGTTTTCATTAGGAATCAACAATGAAACTAATACATTACGATCAAATGTTATATTTATTTCATAGATAAATGAAATATTTTCAAACAAAAAATTTTAAATGACTCATAGATGAATCATTTTCGTTTTACGAAGTCACATTGATACTATCAAATTGGATAGAAATATCGACATTATTTGTGTCTTCAAGGTAGCAATAACATATAACATGTAAAATTTAGATCTGAAAAGTTTCTTTACGCAAAATCTTTTTAAGAAAACTTATGTCAAAAATTTTTCATATCGTAATTTCACAAATGTTTCAACTAATTAACTTCAATTCGTTCTTTTCAAATAAATTGAATATGACATACACTACGTTGAACATCAGACGATACTCTATCCTTATATAATTGTATTTTAAAAAATTCTTTCTAAATTTCCAAAAAGGTACTGAATTAAAGAGCGTAGATTAGCGTCATTATAACTCCAGTAAGATTCAATTATATGATTTACAGTATAACGAATAGTAATAGATATTTTGACCACAAACAAAATTACATCTATTATAGGTAACTATCCAATCATCACCAGTTAATAGAACACGAATATCATTTCAGAAAGTAAACAAAAAAAAAAAAAAAACAACACAAATATACAAGATAATTGTCTAAACATAGTCGTATCATTGTAATTAGGAATGATGACGACGATGTTTTGATTCTTTTTTAGATTTTTTTGATTTTGATGAATGATGTCGATGTTTATGATGACGTTTTCGTTTAGATTTTTTTGATTCCGATTCTGATTCAGATGGACTACTTGTACTTGGTGATCGACTAGAATGAAATATATTCATTTTGAAATTGTCTTCAACATATGAAAATATTTACTGTCGTTTGTGTTTTGCTTTTTCATGTTTTTTAGATTTTGTACTTGTTTCTGTTTCTTTTTTTTCTGCTTGTTGTTTTTCACGATTAATTTCTTCTATAATGGATAGAATTTATTTATATAAATAATCAAAATAAGAATAGAAATATTTACCTCGAGCAAGTAATTGAAGAGGTGTATCATTATCATCGTCACTCGATGGTGAACTAGTCGAACTAACGTCAAGTACAACAGCTTTGGATGGATCTGTTTGAAGAAAATTACGACATTGATAAGTTAAATGACCAACTAGATGAAGAAAATAAATCGTTTTATTGAAAAGATATAAAATTTCTACATACCATATCCACATTTAGCACAGCCCACTTTAGCATCTGGCATTTGTGCACGTGTATAAATACCTTAAAGACAAAATTCAATAATTAGGAAAAGAAATTAGAAATGAATTTTTTAGAAAACAAAAAAAAAATGGTTTATTTTATTATAATGAAAATTTTTCATTATATGAAATATTTTGAACAATTTGCATATGTTGATATTCAAAAAAAAAATATGTAAAGTATTTTAAAGCTGTTAGCACAATTCTTTCGGAATTAAAATGTAAAACATAATGTAGCTATTCCTACTAATCACAGGAAGATTGTTTATCAACAACATCTGTCACACAAACTGTAAGGAAGAGAAGGAGGTAGAAGTCAGTCGAAATTTTCATGCCTATACTTCAACACTCCGTTTAGATCATATTTCACAAGAATGTTAATCTTTAATAATGTGTAATCCATGGCATATGTATTATAGTTTTGCTACTAAGACTAAAAAAAGACCGAATATTGTAAATCTTCTTTGTTTAACATTAACTTACTAGACATAATGATATAATGTTAAATAGACAAGACGAATTTATTAAATCTGAAAAAGACAAGAAAATTAATCTCTTCATAATCGAAGAAGAGAATTATGTTAATTAAATGTTTTTTTTTTTTCTTTCATCAAACAACAAAACTTATAAGTAAACACGAACAATTACAATACAATAGGGAAAAGTTACATATGTATTTTTTTATTATTATTATCTATTTTCATTCATTTGTCTTTTTTCTTTTTCTTCTTTGTTGATCCACTTGCTGATTCATCGTCTGATTCACTTTCACTCTAGAAGAAAATAAGTAAAATAAGTTTATGTTAATATTTATAAAAATAAATATACGAACTGATGAATGACCAGATGTTGCTTTCTTCTTACGTTTTTTCTTTGATTTTTTACTTTTTTTTGTTTTAGTTCCTGTTGTTGATTCCGATGGTGGAGCTGCTAGTGGAGCAGAACTAGATGGTGCACCACCATCACTATCTTTTGTTTCACCTTCATCACTTTCAGCTACA